ACCCTGATGAATCAGCGCTGTATTTTACTTTATGAAAGATACTCAGGGAATATGGGTTATATTTGGTCTGAGGGCTTCGGAATTACTTTGCTTCAAAGACGCAATAAATTTTGCGGCGTTATTGGGTTTTTTTTAGCGGCAGGCAATAAAAAATTCCAGAGGGCAAATGAGACAGCTATGCGCGTATGATGCAAATGATGCAAATGAATCCACCCGACGACTGGTTGAAGACGGGATGAGCACGGTACTCACAAAAACGCACACGGCTCCTAGATTCTCTGTATTGTATCAAGTGTTCGTTCGAAGACAATGCATTCTCTCTTCTGCATTACCTCATAAAAGTTACCCCTGATCGCTTCGAGATTCATTCTGCCATGGAACGTTCGCGTATAGCTTTATAATGGCAATAGGCCATTTGCATGATGGCGTCATTTTACTACTATGACCAGGATCCTTCGGGGTTTTGCTTTCTTGTGTAAATTTGTGCTTCTGTTATCTAAACCTCACTGGAGCTACCAAATTTAAATATGAAAAGAAAACGAAAATAATTCTGGTCGTCGTGCTAAAATGACGCCATCGTGCAAATGGCCCATTACAAATTTTCCCTGGGAAGCATGCTCCCGAACCCCCACACCTCCTTCTATGCTCACCCTAAGGGTATCAACATTGCTCTATCAACATTGCTAAGGGTATTAACGTTGCTCTATCAACATTGCTAAGGGTATCAACATTGCCCTATCAACATTGCTAAGGGTATCAATATTGCTCTATCAACATTGCTAAGGGTATCAACATTGCTCTATCAACATTACTAAGGGTATCAACATTGCTCTATCAACATTGCCCTATCAACATTGCTAAGGGTATCAACATTGCTTTATCAACATTGCCCTATCAACATTGCTGAGGGTATCAACATTGCTCTACCAACATTACTAAAGGTATCAATATTGCCCTATCAACATTACTCCGCGGTCTCTGAGTGAATTGCTGATTACAAAATATAAGGAAAGGCTTGAGGGTGATGTCGGGAAAATTACGTTGACTCAATCAAAGAAGATAATCAGAAATTTAAGTGAGCTAATTTCCTATGTTGAAATCTCAGTCTTTTTACAGTCAGTGAATGTGTTTATGACGTTTATTGTAAACCACTCACATGAATGTGTGCCTTTTCGCATCTTTGGACTTTTATTCTAGGTTTCTGGGGAAACTGCTTACCCATCCCTCCCTGCTAAGCCAACATTAACACTTATCATGAAGTCATTAAGACAACGAAAGTTATCTCTGCTTTTTATCTGCTCCAGTATCACAAAACCTTTTGTTTATAACTACAAATAACCCGTCTATTCCTTTGAGAGCTAAAGATATCTTTCCCTATAAAAGAGACACCGATGTCACGAATATACATTGTATCAATTCGACAAAAAATGGAGAGATTATTAAATCCTGAACTGAAATAACTAGACGCAGAGCAATCGGACCCGCTTGTGTGTGCTGTCTTTGAGCTTTTTCCTCCGCGGCTGTTTACTTTTTATTGTTCATTTTGTTTGTTTGTTTGTTTGTTCCTTTTACAATTATGCGTGGGCGCGCTCAATGAGCGAAACGAACGGAAAACGATCTTTCAAGCGAGACCCTTGTTTGTACTCGCAGAAAAATCCTCCGAAAGATCATGAATTCTTTATGGATCGACTTCAATAAGACTGTAAGACTAACATTTGCCAGCGATCTTCAGGACTATGTACTATGTAGTTGACAGGGATACAAAATCACGAATTCTGCGTAATTTCAACTCCTTTTGAATAAACTTGACAACAACAAATACAATAACAACGACGCAATCTGTATCCGTGGAATTCCGAGTCGCCAATTCATGACTCGTCGACTACTACAAGAAAAGTACCCTCAACAGAATAGCATTAAGAGGTAAGCAAAAATGCAAAGGAATTGAACCCGGGTCCCGTATTGGATTCTTTAAAAAAGTGATATACTTTTCGATACGAAAAGAAAAAGAAAGCATTCAAAGCTGTAATGATTCAGCTGGTAACCTTGATCAACATAGCACCGCTTGTAAGCTTGCTAAGTCTACGAAAACAGGCATAATGTTTAGACACCTGACTCATATGAATGGTTACACCTTATCTACTGAAACACAAAAGGCGAAAACCAATACTGAGGCAAACAAAGATTTCATCGTGCAAGTAGCTTGTTGCTAGATTTCGGAAGAGCTGGCAAGTTAAAATCTTCAGAGCCGCACCTTGTGCAGAACAGAACAGTGTTCCCAGGGCAACAGTAAAAGCAGAAATATTGACACTGTTAAAAGGGCTTGGATGGCGCCTGGAGCATCAGAAAGTAACATCCAATAGACAAATCGCAAAAAGCTCATATTGAATGAACTTACTGATCCAAATCATATTTTAACCAATGGAAAGAACCCTGCTTTGCTCTTTGAGTTCTAGGATGAGTTAACGTAAGCTTTGCCGCACGACCAGTTTAGAGTAATTTTAAATAAAAGCCAAGTTCAATGACACGAAAAATGCATCGTCCCATCCAAAAACACAGGACTTTGCGCAAAGCAAAGTTCCTTAATCAAACTGAAGTTACCGTAAAATTCCGAAAATAAGCCCCAGGGCTTATATTTTTCAAAGGCCCTTTTTGAAAGGGCTTATTTCTGAGGGAAATTTGCATTTCAAAATCGATTGGGCCAGCCTTATACAGCTATTTCAATAAACGTTGTCGGGAGAAAAGCAAAAAGTCTTCAAGCCAAGACCTCATGGTAATGTGGGTTGTTTCAAATCTGTCTTTTGATGGCAAACAATCACTCCACTAAACTGGTCGCTGATTTTTATTCATCATTTATACTGAACCATACTTAGCATTTTAGTTTTTAAAAAAGTTCAAGGTAAAATTACGTTTCAGTCGAAGTACACTCTTGCTTATTCCCATCTTTGAAACCAATTTTGTTCACTAATTAGCAAAGAAAAATCATGAAATTTTACATTTTATCAATTTGCAAAACGTAGTAACAAAGTGGCCGAAATAAAATATTATAAACAAACTTTTTTCAGAATAATGGTTCCTGCTCAAAAATCAATTAAAGCTCGTTTAAGCCTACTCCAGGTGATATCTTGCACTACACCAGCATGTGAGATTATATGGACAACCACATCGCCTTTATTCCACCTCATTCGGCGATTTCTCTGGAAACGAATTCTAAAGGACTACAGTTTTAAGTTAAAAAACAGAAAGAAAAGAAAATTGTGGTCTGCTGTTCTCTTCCCCTATAAAACATGAGACATTTCAAGCCGTAGTCGGGCAACAACAGCCACGGACAAAAAAGCGTGATGCACGTGCAAATTAAGTTGTTGTCTTGTTAATTTAAACCTATTGTTGCTCACTGTCTCTTTTGTCGCCATTGTATTTCCTTAAGCTCCTTACTGTTTGAAGGCCCTCCTACCCCCGGGGGCGGGGGGACTCCGTATATGAAAGGGGTGGGGATGCTCGTCGTCTCCCTTAGGGGTGTAAATTTCGGATTATGGTCTCGCTTAGGCTGTTCTGGGAAAAACACCATTATATTTAGCCGTAAAGGTCTCTTTTAGGGTTGCACTCGAAGAAATATTTAAAAATTATATATTTTCAATTCGTCTTATTTACTCGATTCATGTAATCAAAGTTTAAAATGATCGCTTTTAGGGGTCAAAAAAAGGTTGGGCCACGCCCAGATTGGTCTTCTTTAGGGGTTTAATTCAAAATTTCCGACGGGCATCCCCACCCCTTTCATATGCGGAGTCCCCCCCACCCCGGGCCTCCAACCACCTCTGAATTAAGAGTTATCCAACGTTTAGAAATACTCTCACTTACAGAAAGACGTTCCATACTGTTCTCAGGGACATACTTGAGTGGCCGCAAATCTCCTATAGGACCTGTAGCAGGTCCTTATAAAAATCCCATATTACCTTTCTTGGCTTAAACTTTTTGCTTTTCTTCCGACAATGCTTTTTGAAATAGCTGTAGTTGGAGGTAAATTTACCTTTTTTGCTTTGCTTTACTTTGTATTTGAGGGCAATTTTCCAAGTATAAGCCCCCGGGGGGCTTATATTTGGAGGGGCTTATTTTCGGAATTTTACGGTATTTTACTCAGTCACGCAGACTGATACGGACTGACAGCAGGAGAAGCGTAAAAGAATGATATATTCTACAGAAAAAACTAACAGAAGTTAAACCACAGGGCGTCCACAAAATTTGTGTGTAACTGATTCTTATTTTATAGTAAATGTACTGGATTTACCATTTGCTTCACCTATAACGATACATCGCTAAGTATGTATATAAATCAATGTTAAATGAACGTTGAATTACCTTATCTTTGGTATATTGATGTCCTTTTGCCTCAAAAGCGTTTTTTTTTTAGCGATTTGGGCGTTTTGGAGATGTACAGCCACAACTTTCTCGATAATTTCAGCAACGACTTAGGCCTATAATAACCAAGGACTTCATGATCCAGAGAAGGTGGAAGAATATACTTCTTTTTCATTTTATCTTTATATCTTAATATTTAGGTTTTATCTAAACTGTTGCGAACAAAATCTACCTCACAGCCTCGAGGGTGTCGCCTGAATAAAGCTTCCACTGTAATATGAGTACCCGAATGACTCGCACCGGCACTGGTTCGTTTGGAGTAGCATTCCAGGGGCTCTCCCGCCCGTTATTGAAAACTTTCACCGACGTTTTTCCCGACCCAACTGACCGCCCCTGGCCTGGGTCCCCTAAATGGAGGTGTTTCTTGAAACGAGGTGTCCCTAAGAAGGGGTTCCACTGTACAATCAAAACCACAAAAGGTACTTGGCTGTGCTTACACTTTATTTAAAGATAATATGATTACAGTTACAACAGTGCAATTGATGAAATCACACGATCAACTAAATCTGACTCAAGACAACTGAATTTTATAACTTGGATGCTACGCTTTTACCGAACTGGTAACTATACGTTTCACAAAAAAATTAACGGACAAAAACTGCAAAAGCGCATGCCAAGAATAGGAAACCACTGGCCATTGGTACCTTGGCTCCATTGCACAGATCTTTGTCACAGCAGGAGAAGTCGCAATTTTTGACATCATAACCCTCGTCTTTAAACGTATCGCAACCTTTGTCGCATACCTCTTTCGTTGAACATACCCTTACGTAAGATTTGGTGGTTGTGCCGTTTTTTTCTGCTTCCACATGGCCTTTCAAACATCTGTCAGAGCCAGAATCACACGACGTTTCGTTTCTGTTAACACAGTCATCCCAATTTGTAGATGCTTCACACCGGTAGCACTTGATACCCTGTCCTACAAATGAAAGTGAAAAATCGCAATTGTATTGTTTATGATTATCATTTTATTCCAAGTATAAGGGTTAGCATATATAATACCCGTCAGGAAAGGGTTAAAGTCTAATCCAGGATTGAAAAACAAGCATTAGATATAATTCCAGAGACTTGAGTACCACAACAGTTAGATGAATATTTTGCTCGTACTGTAAAAAAAAGATCAATGCCTTATTCAAAAAATAAATCAGTGCTCGTTTCATCCTCCTTTACAAGGGCGGCGACGTCTACAAAAAACCCCCCACTCTACATGCATTCAAGTTTAGCAAAGGCCCAAAGCGGAGCTTCCACAATATTTTTCAAGAAACATTTTTCTGAAGAAATAGGTAGATCAAGTGGTAGAAAGTGAGGTCAAGTCTGTCTTTTCTTCTGATTTATATAAACAAGAAGTGTAAATAGAGGCGCTACGTTACTTTGATAACTGAAGAAATACTCTCGCGTCTTCCCCACTATATGGGCCCGGGAGGGGGGGGACTCCGCATATGAAAGGGGTGGGGATGCTTATCGGAAATTTTGAATTAAACCCCTAAAAGAGACCATGTTAAGACACAGACAATATATATATATTTTATATTTTTTCGCATGCAATCCTAAACGAGACCTTCACGGCTAAATACAATGGCGTTTTGCCCAGAACACCCTAAGTGAGACCAAAATGCGAAATTTACACCGTTAAGCTAGACGACGAGCATCCCCACTCCTTTCATATCCGGAGTCCCTCCCCCGGGAAATAACTCAGTTAGTATCATAGGTGACGAATTACTCCTTAATTTTGGCGCGAATTTACAGCGTTAATTTATGGTTTCACAAGTGAAATTACAAAATTGCCATGGCAACCGTCCGTACGTCTTAATAGGGACTTTAAGATAGGTCACTACGGTAGGCTGGGACGGTTGGATGCGTATACGGGTGGCCTGGGGCCATGACGGTAAGAAGCCACAAAAATTTTCAATTTAAGATCGGACAACAAAACAGAGGACGGTGAAGTCATGTGCGAAACTCGCTTGTCATTTCTCTCACAGAAGGCTCAATTACTGAAGAAGAGTTTTTTATTTTATACGAAGAATACCAATCAGAGGAATAAGGGTACAAATTAAAGCTAGCTAGTTTTCAAAACTGTAGTCGATGTTTTTATTTGAACTTTCCTTCCCTAAGCCAACACCTTTTGAGTTATAAGGAAATGTTTTCTTGATAAAAATACAGTTTTAAGTTATACAAAAGACGACTACAATCATCACTGTTAGGCCCAGTTGAAACGTCGAACTTCTCATGTGCCGAAACTAAAGCACAAATTACTAAAATTTATTTTCACTTGTTTAAAGCATCGTGAAAATGAATCGAGTTCGACTACACTTTAAGTTCGACGCCTGAATCAACCTCGAACCATTTGGGTCGACCTAAATAGGTATTAAGTTCGGTACATGAAAAGATTAACGTTTGAACTGGGTCTTACCTTTCTTTTCGGCAATTTTCCTCTGCCATGGCGGACGACACTAGGTAGAAAACAAGCAGTCGCCATGCGACCGCGAGCTAAGTTATGAATGAACTCAGATATTTCTGATATTTTCGCTTTCTTTTTCATTTCACCGATGGGTAAATCAATGTAAACACAAGCCAACGCATATTTAACCCATTGGCTACTCAGTTTTAGAAGAAAAGTGACAATAAGTACGCATGAACTCTTATCGGTTTCACCGTTGTCTTCACGACGAGAAACCCGGCGAAAACATACCGTCCCAGAAGGACGACGGTAAAAGGTCACGCGTGTTTTGCGTGACGTGACATCTATCTAACCGTCCCAGGCGACCGTAGTCACCTATCTTAAAGTCCCTAATGTCAAATAGCGACGAAGTTTTAAAATGTTATGAATGAAGATGCCAGGGGTATGGCAAGCCAAATGTAGCAATATTCAATTCGTTTAATTTTATATGTAGTTTTGTATTATGTGTTCAACTATGCGTTTAATATTCAACTTATATTCAACATTCAACGCGTTATTCAATATTCAAATTCGCATTCAACATTCAACTATTTATTTTATATTCAATTCCTTATTTACCCATTCAATTATCTATTCAACAATTTCAACCATTTATTCAACATTCAACTTTAATTTTTAAAACATTCAACTATTTATTCAACATTCAACTTTAATTCAACATTCAACTATTCATTCAACATTCAACTATTCATTGAACTCTTTTGAGCCCTCACTACTTCTGGTCAGTGACACAGATCATTGCTTGTTAAAAACATGGTGGCGGTGGCGGCTAGAATGCCAGCTACGGAAATAGAAGCTTATGAAGATGACACAAGGCTGCACTTCGATGTGGAGTCTGACTTTCCAAGGTTTCTTGACTCGGTTTTACGAAGGACTGACCAGATTTCCCAGACGAAAGTGGATGACGAAATTGTGGAGCAGCATATTGTTGTTGTCGATCAAACGGAGCGTTTGCTTCGTATACCCAGGTATACGCCGAGACAGCAGTTCGAATATTAACGCCTATGACAAAGAAACCTTAGATAATCTCTCACCAGCGTTCAGTGATGTCGATCAGCCCTGCAGCAATGTTTAGCCAGAGCAGCCGTCTCCCACCACAATATTATTGTATGGGTATGACCCAGAGGGCTCCTTTCCTTCAGAAGAAGATAACAACGTTGTTGTCGAATCAATTTCTTTAGATAAAAGGCATTCAATAGAGTGCTATGTGTTAGATGTTGTGGACCCTCTAGCACAGTCCACTCATCTGGGTATTGATCTTTATATTCATGCCCTAAACCTGGTCAGGGATAGAATGGAATGATAGTTAGATCTCCCTGGAACAGAAAATTACTACTAAGAATTCACAAGAATTGTGAAAACATGGGTAAAATTCTGAAAATTTCAAGTGTAAGATGTAATTTTGTGAAATTTGACATTCATTTTCTCAGACTCCCATGAGAAATGTTCTTTGGTGGGCTCGCTGGTGAAAGTGGAAACCCCAGATACTCTACACAAGCATTATCTTTAAGTCCTATTATATTATTAGTAGTAATTTAAACAATTGAACATGCACCTGTCTTTTTCAGACTTGTCAAAAATGAGCATCTTCCTAGGGGTCAAATAAAGCCCGATCCCTACCCACATTGTTTTTTTTTAGGGGTGTAGTTGTAATTTCCCCCACAAGCATCCTGATCACTTTTACATAGGAGCCTGTCCTCCTCACGTCTGGGTAGTAATTTTCTGTTCCAGGGAGATCTAACTATCATTCCATTCTATCCCTGACCAGGTCTAGGGCTTGAATATAAAGATCGATACCCAGTTGAGTGGACTGGGTTAGAGGGTCAACAGCATCCAACACATAGCACTCTATTGAATGCCTTTTATCTAAAGAAATTGATTCGACAACAACGTTGTTATCTTCTTCCGAAGGAGAGGGGCCCTCTGGGTCATACCCATACAATTGTGGTGGGAGACACGGCTGCTCTGGCTAAACATTGCTGCAGGGCTGATCGACATCACTGAATGCTGATGAGAGATTATCTAAGGTTTCTTTGTCATAGGCGTTAATATTCGAACTGCTGTCTCGGGGTATACCTGGGTATACAAAGCAAACGCACCGTTTGATCGACAACGACAATATGCTGCTCCACAATTTCATCATCCACTTTCGTCTGGGAAATCTGGTCAGTTCTTCGTAAAACCGGGTCAAGAAACCTTGGAAAGTCAGACTCCACATCGAAGTGCAGCCTTGTGTCATCTTCATAAGCTTCTATTTCCGTAGCTGGCATTCTAGCCGCCACCACCGCCATGTTTTTAACGAGCAATGATCCGTGTCACTGACCAGAAGTAGTGAGGGCTCAAAAGAGTTGAATGAATAGTTGAATGTTGAATAAATAGTTGAATGTTGAATGAATAGTTGAATGTTGAATTAAAGTTCAATGTTAAATGAATAGTTGAATGTTTTAAAAATTAAAGTTGAATGTTGAATAAATCGTTGAAATTGTTGAATAGATAATTGAATGGGTAAATAAGGAATTGAATATAAAATAAATAGTTAAATGTTGAATGCGAATTTGAATATTGAATAACGCGTTGAATGTTGAATATAAGTTGAATATTAAACGCATAGTTGAAAACATAATACAAAACTACATATAAAATTAAACGACTTGAATATTGCTACATTTGGCTTGCCATACAGGGGCCCGTTTCTCGAAAGTCCCGGAAACTTTACGGGCCCGAAATGAAATATTCAAATCGAAATATAAAGAATAAGAGCGCGGGTCCTGGCTAGCAAACTACTCCATTTTGTTTCATTAACTGACAGTTTTATCATGTTAGATGCAAAACTATTGAAACCTCGACCTTTAATGTAAACGGAGACAGCTTACCGGGCCCGTTAATTATCGGGACTTTCGAGAAACGGGCCCCAGGGCATTAAAAGACGCTTTAGAAAACCGGAACACACGAAAAAGTACATGAAGAAGGATTCTAACATGTGTTTTGTCGAAAAATTCCAAAAATTTTGAACTTAAGCCAAATTTAATCAAATGGTATACTCTTGAAATTAGGGAATAGTTTCACTCGTCACCATTTGATTACACATACTGCGGCCACTGCTAGTGGCCATTACGAAGTCAACTGAGCGCAGATATTCACCACAAATTCAGTTTTATTTCATTAATTTTTAATGGCTTTGAAATTTCACTTTTTAAAAATCCTTAGCAATTTAAAAAATATCGAGTCGGTTTATAAACTGCGGCTTTAAGCTTAAAGAGAACACTTTTTTGCGCTCACACGAGTAAACGTATCTTCTGAGTAAGAATAGAAAAATGTGTGATCACAAAGGTTGCTTGCCAATTTTTTTTCACCACCATTGAAAGAACTGAGCCGTACCTTAAGCTAGGTATATAAATATGGGTTTTTCAGGCGCTGTAAAGCATCATTTTTGATCATTCAAAAACAAAAAGTGAAAAAGGCATTTTTGTGGATTCAAAATGTTTAGAACATTATATCTCAAAAACACTATCATTGGTTTTTTTTTCAAACCCTGCCAAGGTAAAAACGACGGTGTAACCTGTTAGCATTCTAGAATATTTAGTATGGCTAGATTTCGAGAAAATTCCCAAATTGTTGTTGCTATGGAAGCGGCAATGTCAACAAAACATGGCTCAAAAATTAAGTTCAATGTTAGATATGTTGTTTCATTTTATGGCTTTTCCTTACATGCACTACAGCCAAAGTTATGGAACATCAAACACGAAGGAGTGCGATTTTGAAAAATGAGTTGAATATCAAGGGCATGCATATGTGAGAGATAAAAACAACCGTGCTGGAGTATATGTTGGAGAGCTTTATCTTTTTTGTTTTCACAAATCGTGACTGAGTAATTTACTGCAAGGTCTTTATCGGTGGAAGTCGGAAAAAACTAACAAGAGAAAACATACAAAAAAGTCTGATAGGCTTCATAACAACTCCACTTTATCAACTATGGTGAAAGCGAACAGCAAACGATATTTCAAGAGCTACCGTTCTTTGTACCCCCCACAACAATCCGCTGAAAGAACATAATCTCTTTGTCGACCAACAATGAAGCTTTAAGACTAACATTTCCAGGTTATTATTAGGAGCATGTAATTAACAGGGATACCTCACGCTAAAGTAATTAGCGTTCCCAACAGCTTGCGAAATTAACGGGGCAGGGTTAGCTCAGTCGGTAAAGCGCTTGACTGCAGAGCGGCAGGTCGCGGGTTTGATTCTCGAGTCTAGACCAATACTCGGGGTCTTAAAATAACTTAGAAATGAAGGTACTGCCTTTGCCCTTCAGGGCCGAGTTGTTCAAAGCTGGGTTAAGAAAACCCAGGGTTAGTGCGAGATTTGAATTAAGATTTGAAAGCTTAAAAAGCATTTCAGTTTTAATTCTTTTTGTCTACAAGTTGATGATCGGAAGCTCTAAAAATAAGAGACAAAATTATCCTGGTAAATGATTTTGAACACAACAAAAGGAAACCCGGGTTAAATTTAACCCTGGGTTAAGCGCTAATCGGCCTTCGAACAACTGGGCCCAGATGGCTAGACCTTCACCCTGCTCGGAGGACCACGTAAAATGGCGGTCCCGTCTCTAATAGAAGAGGTAAAAAATGGTGTCTCCAATTAATACTTTCGTGCTAAATACATTGACTCTCAAATAAATTTCCTGTTTTTCAACGTTATCTATTTTGCCAAATTTCACTGAACCCCTTTTGAAAAAGCTTGACAACATCAACAACGCACAATCCGTACAAATTACGCCCTCTATGGGTATTGCTTGCGAAATCGAAGTCTCGGCGATCACTTCTACTGAAACGACGATTTTAGAGACTATTCCAGTAAAGGTTGAAAAAATTAATCGTGCGATGTCGGCAAATAGATCTGCCAAAAACTGTGTTGCACGTTGGAGTGTTACCACGCAAAATAATTCTTGATATGCGACGATTTCATTTAGTTTGATGGAAAACCCGCAACGAAAACAGTGGCCCAGTAGGTACCCATACAGAGAAGTTCACAAATCGACTACAAAACAAAAAATCATCTCACGAAATTGCCGTGGAAGATGGCCGCGCCCCATATTTGATATATATGCCAAAGTGGTAACAACGATGCGATTGCATGTAATGATTTGCGTGAGGTTACCTGAATCAGCATAGCACCCCTTTAAAGCTTGCTACACCTGACATAATAACGGTCACACCTTACCTACGGAGATACAAAAGGCGAAAACCAGCACTGAGGCAACAAAAGATTTCATCTTGCAAGGAGCTTGTTGCTGGATATCGGGAGATAAAAGCCCTCTGAGTCGCACCTAAGGCCTAACGGATTTGTTTCCCTGGACAACAGTAAAGGTAGATATATTGACAGTAAGGGCTTGGATGTTTGGTGCGTCAGAAGGTAACAGGCAATGTGGAAATCGCAAAAGCTCTCATTTGGTGAATTACCAGATGCAATTCGTACTTTAACCAATAACAAAGAACCCCATTTGGCTCCTTTATTTCTAAGCTGTGTTATCGTGACTTTCTCCACAGGAACACTTTAGATTTGATTTTGAAATAAAGCAAAGGCTAATGACACAAAAACAACAAACATTCTCTCAAACAACTAACAAAGGACTTTCTGTCAAACAAAAATCTTACATTAAACTTAGTCATTTTACTCAGTTACGTAGAAAACTGATCCACACGAAAATATGTAAAAGAATTATCTTTTCAGCTGAAAAAAACTAGCACAAGTTGAACGGATAGAGTGACCGGTTGCTGGGTAAAGATTTCCCAACACATATATTATGCATGCAACAATCTCATACTATTTCGTACAAAAAGTTAATATGAATTGGGCCGAAACAAGTATGCATAAAAAATGCATGGGGCTGTACGGAAATCTTTCCGAATGTTCTCCAATCAATGCCGGCAAAGCTAAAATGCATGTTCCAGCCCGCCTCGCCCTGTGCGCGAGCGAACGGCTGCACACTGTGTTTAATAGGAATACATGCCTATATTGAATTAGTATAAGCTCTTAAAAGTAGGATCGTTGTTGCATGTTCTGTATTCGTGGGCATACTTATTAATTTTCGCTAAATGAAAAGGACACAGTCGACTAGAAGCTTAAATTTCAATTTAGTAGAAACAGAAAGTGTGTCAAGGGTGACTGTAACTTACGCAAAAAGGGCGTTTAAATATGCATAGCCATTGAAGCAATTGGGTATTTTTCATTGCTACGGAAACCATTGTTGGTTCACTTTTTTGTTTTGTTATGTTTTGTTTTGACAATCTTTCAGAGATTGCACCTGTCCACAACACTAAAAAACACCTAATATTTACTAAGCTTGCATGCAGTGATACTTGACCTAATTTCAGAGCTTCAAATAAGTTTCAGTTATTTTTTTTTTTGCGGCCTCGAATGTACTCTGTTCTCTCTGCGTTGCAAAAAAAAAACTCACTAATGTAAAACATGACTGTCTCTGATGAGAGCACCTTTGAAGTTTATAAACTTCATCAGTTCCATTTCGTTTGGGTGCAAACTTCAGTTTGTATCTACTAACTTGATCACTTCTTGTAGCAGAGTTCTCTTCACTGCGTTCAGTACACGGGTATGACTAGTGGAACTAAGTGAGATAATAGAGAGCTTTAGATTCGAGGACGAGAAGGGCTTGGAGTACGAGATTTGACTTCAAGTTTTATCGCGTATTCTCAAAAAATAGATACCCCGGACAGCTTCATTGTACCTTTGACACTATCATCTGTATTTAAAGAGGGTTAAGCCCTCTCCTGATCGCAAAATGATAAAACTTGTAACATTTGACACCTTGTTCCGTCACTAAGACATTCTCCCTAAAACTTGTAGTAGAATGACGACGGCTATCACAGTTTCTCGCCAAAATAGGGACTTTAAGACCCTGTTTACATGGAGTGGAGGACCCCGGTCTAGTGGGGTAAGTTTCTTTTGTTTTCACGCTCTGGGGGACACAAAACAAAAGAAACTTACCTCACTAGACCGGGGTCCTCCACTCCATGTAAACAGGCCCTAAGATCCAACGACGCGGACGGTAACGAGAACGTAAAAAAAACAAACAATAGGTTTGATTAGCAAAACAACAACTTTGCACGTGCACCGTGCTTTTTTGTACATTTCTCTACCCGTTTTTGCACGACTACGACGTGAACATGCCTAATTTCGCGTTTTACCGAGGACGTAAACAAGCAACTACGAAATTTTATTTCTCTTACTGTACTTGGATATGGTGCCTAGGAATTCAACTCCAGGATTCGACAAAGTAAGTGTGTAGGAATAATTGCGATATAGACTGAAAAATCGCAAATTCACTTTTTAAGCGACGTTCTCATTGCTGTCGCGTCGTTGGATCTTAAAGTCCGTAATGACACAGGTTCACGCGCGAACAATACTCAGTACTAAGAAAATCTCGTTCTCGTAGTCTTTTTCGTCTTAGAATTTAAAGGTCTTTAATGCTTTGTTTCTGCTTTGTTTTATCGAATGCAGTCAGTAAGACGCGTGCTGCGAGTACATGTGCTTTAAACAGCATCAGTATCTACTTGTAGTACATTATGCTGTTGTTGGTGGATGTATTGTTCGTTAAGAGCATGTTTTATTAAAAAATTCAGATCAAAAACAACAAAAATAGTAAAGGTTTGTGCAATACAGTCATGCAAATGATTTGTGAAACTGATTTAGACAATGCAGGTGTCATACGCTACCTGCCCGCTTCAGGATATATCTTAAAGTTTATGCCGCTATCCAAAAAGAAACTTCACGGTTAAGAACCGTAAAAGAAAAATAATAAAAATCAACCGGTTAAAAAAAAGAGCGAGTGCGGCCGGTTATTATACAGTCTTACCCGAGATTTAACCGGGCTGCGCAAATCACGCGATAACAGTAGTGTTTCTTAATGCAGGTTTATAGGATTTTTAAACCACCTGGTAGGGTAGTTTGAGCTGATTAACTTTATCAATCAATCGATTATCTCTAACAAAGCCCAAAATTTTCCAAATTTTGGCTTTGCCATGCACACAGACTGTACAGTTTCAAGAAGCAAGTTCTTTGGCCTCGCGTCCAAGTTCACCGTTTTTTAACACAATTTAGTAAGTCAAGACCTGCAACAATTCGAAATCTTGTTTTTAGTATCACGGGGTAAAGTTTTGTTTGTAATTCTAAGGCGACGGCGAATCAAGCGACTTATGAAAGTTAAGTTCTCACTCATGACTACCTAATTAAATATGCATATTTTAGTAAATGCTATTTAGAACGGTTTGCTTCCATCAGTGCTCCTGAAAAGTGAGCTATAAATATGTCTCAACGAAAGCAACACGTGAAACGTGATTTCAAATAACATGTGACATCGCTTCGTCAATGACGTCACAAAACACGTTTTCCTAAACGGGGAAGGGTTGCAAACCTTAATCTTCAAAATGTTACATAAACAGTGTAAATCTTAAATTTGCCTTGTATGATCGGAAATGTTATTTAACCTATTAGCTATTTATCTAATTAATAAGTCACGTGACCCTTTTCGCTTTATTTGCTGATTCCTGTACAACGTAAACACACATACAAGGGGAATTTATAAGAACCCTTCTAATAGCCTCTGAAATGTACCTAAAAGAACTTGTTGCTCTTTCATTATCCTTTCCCCATTTTAGAGTAAATATTTTGACCGTTAATTCTCAATTATCAGTCACGTGACGAACATTTGAGCTTCTAAAATGCACTCATATTGCTAAGGCCATTAAGCTACACAGTGTAGTTTAATTTTCAGGATCATTGATAGAAGCAAACCGTTCTAAATGGCATTTTATCAAGCAAGTGACAAAAAAAAAGCAAAAACCACTTGATACGAAGAGAGGAACTTTGGAACAGTCTAAATCGAGTCAAGCCCGCTCGTAATACTGATTCATCCGGTTTATATGACCTGGCCATATTTATTGGAGGATTGGTTACGTTTTTTTCAGCAAAAAAAAAAAGATTTAATCGATTCTATGTTTTTTAGCACACTTAATGAAGAATGGTGGAACATAAAGAAAATATTTTTCTTGTGGGAATGACACCGTTTAAATTATCGGCGTATATGTTATAAACTGCATTTTTATCAGACAAAATAAATAAGACCAAAGTAACTAGTAGTACTGAGTAGTAGTAAACTTTATTTCAACGCGGGTTGAAGTTTAGCGCATAAGCGTTAATATCTCCGAGAAATAAATACAGTAAAAAAAAGAAAACAATTTTAAAGTATATGCATGCTTGTAAAATTATATGTTGAATACAATCAAGTAAAGATTAAGAGAAAAAAACCTAGCTAGTTACAAAGTCAAGGCAGTTGTTTCTAAAATAGGTTATGTTCGTGCCGGTGTTCGTAGTAGTTCTAAGGTCATCGTTTAACATATTCCATAATTTGGGCGCAAGAAATTTAAAGGAGTTTTTCCCGTAAGATGTGGTATTTACACGAGGTAAGTGTAACTTGTTTATACCTCTAAGCCCATCAATGTTGGTTCTCGGTGTAAATAATACTGATATGTACATGTAGACAGGTGCAGCTGCTCGAAAGGACTTGTGAACTAAAACCCACATATCGAGAAATCTTCTCTTCCTCAAGTTTACAAGGTCCAGGCTTTCCAAAAGCACCTCATATGTGCTGGCTTTATCATCAAGAATTATTCGTAAAACATGTTTATTGAAGAGTTATAATTTTTCCGAATTCCTGGCACCACAGAAATGTCAGATAGAACTACAGTACTGAAAGCGTGGCATAATAAAAGCCTTGTAAAGCCGTGCTTTAGTTGAGTCACTTAAAGTATGTCTAAATCTTTTAATGACTTGAATTTGACTGTGGTCCCTAGTGCAGACATTAGAAATATGCTTGAAAAAGTTGAGTTTAAATCCTTTTCCCTAGTTCAGGGAAAAGTCCTCAGAGCTCTCCAGTTTTGTGTCTGTGAGTTTGAAGACAACTGTGACCATACAACGCGCTTCACAGAATGGTGGTTAAATTTAATAGTAATATGTTTAGGTAACACAGTTTTGAAAGTTGACGCACAAATAAGGGAAGAGCGCTGTCAGATTATCTCTTATCTGAAAGGTTGTTACACTTCTTATCCAAAGCTTGCTTGAAAGAAACTAAGTAATCAGAAACCTACGCAGAACACAGATAGCGGCGGAGCTCTCACTATTTTGCGCGCGGCGGAGCAGCATAAACAAGAAAAAAAGGTAACCAAAGATGCTAGAGATTTTGGTAATCACGTGACTGTCCCTTCACCCCCTACATGTAACCCAATGTCAAATGTCACATTTACTGTGACAAAACTGTTACAGTCATTGTGGATAATGTGCTTCCTAAACCATGAATATACAGGCTTTTTTTACCGATCTTTGTAGTATAAGACTGTGCTTTAAGCGCCCCCCCAAAATAAGATGCTTAAAATTGGTTTTAAATTTTTATTTTGTACATGTAATGAGGAAAATACGAGAGAGAAGGGACAATAGGAAATACGCCTGTTTTTTAGGCTGCCTGATCCAAAGCAGAGTAGACAGGACTGTAATCCACTGAAACGGAAATAAATAATTATTTAGGAGTGAGGAGTCGGATTTAGTTCACCAATTGGCCCTCAAAGGGTTCCTCAAAGGAACTCTGACGTTAATAAAAGAACAGGTGACTATATATACAAGTAAGCAAGTGTGGAGTTCTAAAACTACTTCTTCTATTTTACAAACTGCAACATCTGTTTGAAGGTAAAACATGTCGGTAAGATGTGTTGCAGTTCGATGCAACCAGGAGCCACAATGGCTCTTGATGCAACCTAACAAAGGGATTAGCATGCATAAAATGCTGCTTTTATTCCTCATGTCGTCACATATGAGCCAGTCAATGTCGTGATCAGCGGAACGGGTGTGTCAGAGAAATTTAAGCTTAAAAAACATGATAGCAATTTTTACGTTATAGGCACTTGGAGCCTGACCAGAATTTGATTTATCTTGTCTGAAATGGCAGCCGCCCGCTATAAGGGGTGGGGTGGGGTGGGGGTGGATGCTGTCTCTACTGTATTCACCTCATTCTCTCTTGATTAACCAATTTCACTGAGACCATAATGCCTCTGGTTTACCTCCACCTTAAATTTTGCATAAATATTGCTTCTAGTTTCTTCGGGGTATTACAGTTGTCCAAAGAGAAATCGAAGACATTGGTTAGGTACATCCTCGAGATATCCCTCCTCCTGTTCCGCGACGTATTTTCTGACGGGGGCGGGGAAGTGAAGAGGAATAATGCGGTGTTCAGTATTCCGGGATTAAAACCCGTGAAAAAATAAACCCCCGAACAAGACGCAGCTGTTATACTTTTTTTCATCTATTTATTGTTTTTCGAATAAACGGCGTGCTGTAAGGAACAAGCCATTTGACCATAACTATCACATCCTTCTGAAGTTTGTTTTGTGCAAGTTGGTTTTATTGTTACCAAATTCTTACTGGAAGACTAAATGTATCAGAAGAATGAATTATGACCTTGTTTCCAGGATCTCTCTTCTTCCTGTCCTCCGGGGCGTCTGAGAAAGAGGACTGAGTCATAGAAAAGAAATTTCACCCTTAGGACCCTTTTATAAGACGAAAATTAGTCCCGGGACTAAAGAGGATCCGCCACCCTCCCAGCCCAGTGAACTTTAACGAATGTTTAAATAGTTAACTTAACCTCTTTGATAGCGCACGTTCTGATTATCTCGCCTTGTTCTGGCTGGGCGAGCCAAAGTGTTAAGACGGAAGCCACCAGGAAACTGAGTAATTTTAATTTTCAGTGAACAAAAACCTTCTACCAAAATAATTTAAAGCATATTGCACTCTTTTACATTTTCCAAGGGCTACAGATGTACTTAGTCATCTGTAATAACACCAAAGAAAATTTCTCATGGGAGCCTGAGAAAATAAATGTCAAATTTCACAAAATGACACCTTACACATGAAATTTTTAGAATTTTACCTGTGTTTTCACAATCCTTTTATTTTCTTGGGCTCCAATGAGAAATAGTCTTTGGTGCTATTACAGCAATTAATTGTATCTACAGCCCTTGAAAAATTTTAAAAACAATGCGATATTGTTTAAATTATTATGATACAAGGTTTTTGTCCACTTAAAACTAAAATTACTCAATTTCCTGCGGATTCCGTCTTAATATGGAGAAAAGATGGTGACCCTACCACCACAAAAGGGGGACGTAGCTAAGCGAGCGACCCTTCTATTCCGAACAACTTCGTTTATTCATACTCTCTTAAATAGGCCACTTCCGTCTCCCAAATACCTTCACTTTCAAAATGAGGCCACGTGCACAATCTTTCTTGTGAAAATGAGTTTTACTTGAATGAGAATGAAAAATCATTTCAATATGAAAGGCTGAGTACTTAACCTCGTTTTGATGCAGAGGACCGGGAGAACTCGGAAATGGCCTATTTCAGAATACTAGGATCTCTAGGGGGACTAGGGAGAAGTGAAGTGACAAGGGAGCATAGCATCTCATTGAATCCCCTACATCAACAAAATAGCCACAGGGATAGCAACTACTAAACCAGAAATGCAGGGTAACATTATTTTATTGGAAACTTTATTACTACTACAATTACTATTACAACTTTATTGTTTACAGGATGTATTTGAATATCTCAATTTTGACCAACCCTCTTATTTTCAAAAACATAATGAAGTTCACTGAAGACCTTGGCATGGTACAGTTTATTTATTTTTATTTTATTTTATAAGCTTTGCCCTGAAGAATACAAAAAAAAACAAAAAACAAAAAACAAAAACACTGTACATATGCAAACACTAGTAATAAGAACGTAACAATACACTAATAATAACTTAAATATTAGCGCAGGGACACCGCAACAGCTAAAGCCAATTACTGCAGACCCACAAAATAAAAAGATATAAAAGTAGCAATTCAAATCACATGCAGCGGGTAATTTCCTGGTCTAAAAACCTGGCTGTGTTACATTTCAGGCAAATACTTTTGAAGCTCCTTGGAGAGTCCGGGTCATAGTTTATTGCTAGAACCCGCGAGTAATAACCGTAAAGTTCTCAAAAGTAACATTGTCTAGGTCAGGCCTACTCTGGGACCTTAACTCGCCGCGAGATTGTGCGAGTTAAAATGCGAGTTTAGGCGAGTTAAGGCCAGATAAGGAAAAATTGAGCTTGCCTATCAGTTGCGAGTTTGTGTGAGTTAAGGGAAAATGATCAACCTAATGCTGAGGTGATAAGGGTTAAAACATAGAATATGTTTTAGTAACATACATATAATGATGCCTTGCAATCTTTGTATGTCTTATGTATATATATATATACCTAATAGTCTCCATGTTGCCCAATTACAAAAAAAAATTAAACGAAAAATTTTAGATGAACTCCAAAGTTGACTGAAGCAAAATCTTATTTAAATTTAGTAATATTGAATTTTTTTCCTAATTGGGCAAGTTGAGTATAGAGTTCTGGCCCCAGTTGTTCAAACATTGGATAGTGCTATTCAATGGATAAATCACCATACAGCGGATAAGTATTGGGAAAACTAATTGGACTATCAGCTCGATAGAGATTGATCCAGTGGATGGCACTGTCCAGCCTTTGAATAACCTAGGCCTGTTCTTTATCAATAATTTTATTATATAGCATTCAGACACCAACCTATACGATTTGGTGGCTGTATGATACTACTACTAATAAAAATAGTCATCATCATATATTATTTATTATAGCTGCATAAATATTTGGCAGAATAATAAATTAGTCCAAAAAGAAACTAATGTAAACAAAACAATCACGAATAGATAAGTAAATGAAATTGTAGTGTAAACACAGCTAGGATATTTAATTTTACTTATGTTTTTAATTCACTAACACTATGGTTTAAATATTAGACAGGTGGGCATAATAGGTATCACATTACATGGCATGACTTGTTATCACTAACTCCAGAATTAAAAAAAATGTTTTAACAGTCTGTGTCAATGTTCTTCAAAGAACTAGTATAAAAAAACGGGGAAGCTGACGAACTAAATCTCAGATGAGGAAATTTTCATGACTCAATCAATTTTACTAAACTGAAATGAAATTTCGTTCTCCTTGAAAGTTATAAGACTTATCTCTAAGTCTTCCATTCGACCCATTTTCTCCACTTCACTGATGGTTTCCCTTGGAATCCAGCCCAATTGATTGGTTTCACTGCCAGAAACGAAAACACCAATTGCCTTTTCACTCTTTTCGCTTCCTCGGGATAAATCCATTTTAATTTCTTGCAAATGGAGATTGATGCCTTTTCGCAAATAGAGCAGTTGCTGTATTTTAGAAACTCCCTCCTTAAACTGGGACAATCCTTTGAGACACACCTTGATTTCTACAAAAGAAAGGAGAATCAAGTTAACTTGATAGTAAACTCGTTTAGTATCATTCTCAGCAAAAAATAAATGACCTTATTTTCTGTTCAGGCTTGCTTGCATTTTACGAAGTGTTCACAGTTGTGCAGAGAGCTATACCTCATTTAAGTTGATGAACAAGAATACTCTCCATTATCGGCTTTGTCTAGCAAACGCTTAAGAGTTGTCAGGGATGAATCTGCCCTGCTTCCCATTTTTACAAAAATGGCCACCGGCTCAGCCGTGGTGTAACGTGTTTTGATGTCATGTACGCCACGTTGAAGCTTCCCACCTAAAACTTGCGAGTGGACTGGGATCAATATTGGCAATCAAGGCTGTTTAGGCCCAACTGTTCTAGATACATCAGTCTCGGCAGTTGTTAAATATAGAATATCCTTTACTAATGACTTACCATTTAGGTTTTTTCTTCGCCTTTTTACGCTGTGTTGGATTGTCATGTGTCTTATGTCTTCTTTTGCTCGTGTTTTGTTCGGGGAAAACTCATGGAGTTCACCCTGCAATCAAGTCGAAAAAAAAAAAACGAATTAAACAAAAGGCTTTTCGTTGCTGACTACTTCTAAAATATCCTATATGTAGACTCCCGACTGCAAGGATTGTAATAAATATGTATGTACAAAGCTAGACCTATTCCACAGGACACCCAATTTCGATTTGGGCTTACGGCCGTATTTTCCCCTAATTAATAATCAGGCGGGAAAATGTGCTCTCTTCACGTAATATACCTTATTATGAACTCGTTTTTGCTCAAATCATAGGGAACCCACGCTCTTATTTGTAAACTGCAAATGGAAATTGAATAAGAGATAAAATATTACCTGTTTTATTTTTTTCTTGAATCTGCTGTGGTGCGAAGTGAACTGGAGGTTGTTTTACAATGCGAAAACTTTGTTCAAGTCAACGCTTTAACTGTTGTTGATTTCACAATGCTTTATGTGGTCACGCGCCGGTTTTTATTGTAGTCTCGCGTTTCATCGTTGGTTATTAAGTTACTAACAATTTGAATTAACATTTTAATATAAAAAATAATGTCTCTTTTCTCTTTTATACCCTCTCTCGACTTATTAATAAATTAATAACTAACAATGAAACGCGACATGATAATAACAAACGGCGCGTGACACCAACGGTAAAATGAGAGCCAAACCACATAAAGCATTGTGAAATTAACAACAGTTTATAAAGCGTCGACTTGAACATAATTTTCGCATCGTAAAACAACTTTCATTTCACCTCGCACCACAGCAGATTCAAGAATAGAACAAAACAGGTACGATTTAATCTCTTATTTAATTTCCATTTTCAGTTTACAAATAAGAGCGTGGGTTCCCTATGCTCAAATCAAGCGTCACTTATAACCCCTCCGTGAGAGCGTGTCGAGAGTGCGCATATCATTACAATTAGTGTCATTAGTGAAGAAAGCACTTACCAATTTAAATGTATCACAGGAAACAAGAGAATCGCCAGGGAGAATCGTGTTCTATGCATTCCGATAGCCACTCAATGCGCACATGTAACGCCGAATCTCCGATGATCTCGCGGTCTTCGGCTCCCTTAGAGTAAACGACATGTGTAGTTGAATCCATTCTCCAGATTCTCGTTTCGTTGACCAAACCTCCGCGCTCTTCAATTTTTTGCTTCAATATGTTAATTTGCGTTCTAATTTGTCTTTTCTTCACAAAAAAGATTTCAAGTCCTTCAAATATCCGTTTTCGCGGACGATTGCAGGCCATGGTAGACTTTCTTTGTCTCAGCAACAGTTGCGCAGCAATCGCTTGGTTATAGTTTGGCTGTGTCAAATTAGCGGTAGTCGCATTATTGACACCCTTTACCGGTAATGGAGCAATTGATTTTTGAAGCGCAGGAGGAGGGGAGGGGTGGGGGTAGTGGTTGATTTTGCAACCAGCGTTCGAGCGAAGAGAAAATCTTGCATTCAGCATCATGTTTATACCAAAACCTACCAAAATACATCGATCAGAGTAAAGTTTTCGGTTTTTTTTATAAAGAAGATTTTGCCAAAACAAAATCGCTCGATCAGCGCCCCAAAAAAAAAAAAAAAAATATGGTCGTATCCTCAATAGCACTCAACGATACATGATGAACACAAATGTGTTGGATATTCATCTGTTTTATTCGATTCCTCATGCGTCATATATTGAAACTTTCATCTCAGAAAAACTGGTGCAGATTTATGACTTGACTTTTGTGAAGCTTAATGACCAGTTTTGCTACCTGGTAATAATAACTGCCTTTGATTTCGGAGTATTTCCCACCGGAAGGAACTACCGACAAAAGTGTGACTGTCTCGTGACAAGTGTCAATCATCCTTATATTTGCCAGGATAAACCGGCCAAAGAACTCTGCACGATCGCCTTTTGATTGTACTTGATTTTGGTAGCTTTAACTCCTGGATGCGCGTTGTATGGTGATGGCCGTTAGTTATGCCCCGATGCATGAATAGTTAGGTTTCAATGGAGGAAAGCGGGCATTCCCAAGGACAAAATAGCGATAACTATTCTCACTGAATAATTAATTAACGCATCGCCAAACGACCGGTAAAATACTCCGCCGTCCTTTGGGACGCATCAATGCACTGCGGGCTCCCCTGATAAATAGGATACACCACGTGGCTTTGATTTCACTGTGTCACAGCGCCGACCGCCGAGACGACTTATCGAGGTTCGCTTGTATCGGTTTGTCAACCAACACCAGCCCGCCTTCGTTTCCTTGTACTTTCCGCTAGCATCAAACCGTCTTTTCTTCGACTACATGGCGGAACCAGCGGGAGAATTACCGCCTTTACCTCCGGTGGCGGCAGAACCGCCTGCTAACCCAGAACATCCAGCAGAACCTCCTGCAGGACCTCTCGCAGAAGTTCTCGCAGAACCGGCGGCGCAACCCGCGGCTGCTAATCAGGTAATTTCTAGTTCTGGTGCTTTTCGTTCGCTTTTAGCTTTAGCTGCTCGTTTGTGCGCATTTCGTGTTTTTCTCCAACGTTTCTAGTACTTTGTTTAGCATATTTAACGTTCCACGTGTCTCTAGGGCATATTTTTGTTTTTCTCTTCGCTTTTGTTAGCGTTGTTCGTATATGTATTTCATTTTACTCGGTCCTTTTGTTTCGGCTTGTTTGTGTCTCATTTGGCTCCGGGAGCCGATTTTTTGTTTGGGACGAAATATTTTTGTTTTGTATGTTCGGTTTTGTCCAAGACACGAGTTATTGCGTTTGCTGTCCGGGACCGCTCGGCTCTGGGGCCGGCTTTCGTTTCGGAACGAATTGCTTTATATACGGTCCGGGACCGTTCGGCTCCGGGAGCCGGGTTTTTGTTTAAACCAAGTATTTGGTGTATGCGGTCCGGGACCGTTTAGCTCCGGGAGCCGGGTTTTGTTCAAAACCAAGTATTTAGTGTATGCGGTCCGGGACCGCTCGGCTCTGGAGCCGGCTTTCGTTTCGGAACGAATTGCTTTATATACGGTCCGGGACCGTTCGGCTCCGGGAGCCGGGTTTTTGTTTAAACCAAGTATTTGGTGTATGCGGTCCGGGACCGTTAAGCTCCGGGAGCCGGGTTTTGTTTAAAACCAAGTATTTAGTGTATGCGGTCCGGGACCGCTCGGCTCTGGAGCCGGCTTTCGTTTCGGAACGAATTGTTTTATATACGGTCCGGGACCGTTCGGCTCCGGGAGCCGGGTTTTGTTTAAAACCACGTATTTAGTGTATGCGGTCCGGGAACGTTTGGCTCTGGGAACCTGTTCTTTATTTAGAAAGAATTTTTTGTTGGTCGGCTCAGGGAGCCGGTTCTTTTTCTTTTGTTTGGAGTGAGATATTATTGTGTATGCGGTCCGGGACCGCCCGGCTCCGGGAGCCGTTTTGTTTGGGGTGACATGTTTATTGTGTTTGCGGGCTAGGTCCGCTCGGCTCCGGGCGCCTGTATTGGTCATATATGCGGTCCGGGACCGTTTCGCTCTGGCAGCCGGTTTTATTTGCCAATGATTATTGTTATACGGCCTAACCGTCCATTTTGGATCTAGCATATCCTCGTTTCGGGATCTTTCGGTTCTGCCTTGGGACCGAAATTAATAACATATAAATGTTTTACAGACGTTAATATATACTTCATATTTTGCGTCACTCTTAGGCGGACGATCGAATTAAGCTTCTTGAAGACAAATTGAAAGCTTTGGAGGAGAAGCAGGGCGTTGACGTGGTCACCACTGCTCTTACCTCTGTTCGCAACGCTCTTCAGAAGCCGGAAGCTGTTTATGACCCTTGGGAGGCTTCTGCTCACGTCGAGGCCCTGGTACGGGCAGCCAGGTCGTCCGCCCACGAAAAGGCAGACTATTACGCGGCCATTTTGGATGAATAAAAAGGAAGATCTAATGCCCTCTCCCCCTCTGCCCATAAACGGCTGCTCATGGGCCTCTTAGGCGATCCGGTTAGAGCCAAGGTTGCAAAGGAGTCCTCTGCGCTTCTCAAGACTATCCAGCGTGAAGAGCCTGGGTTTCAAGGTCGTAATAGTACTCGCCAGTTTAGGCGCCAACGCCCTTATGTCTACAGTTCGGTTAATTGCTACAGATGTGGTCTACCAGGGCATTTCGCCAGAGATTGTGGCCGCGGACGCGGCCGCGGAAATTCTAGGCGTTAGCATCATGTAAATATTGTAAGGGTATGGGATATGTTTTTTCCTATATTATCCTTGTTTATTGGCTGGAATAAAGATTTTTTCCCCTAGTTATTAGCGTCCTAGTTTTCGCCTCATTTCTTCGTTGACCCTGGGGGGCCTTCTCAGCGCCTTTATTCTGGTCTATGATCAGAGCTGGGGTCGGCGAAGGATAGGGGATCCCACCTTCTTTTCTTCCTTTTCTTATTTTTGTATTTTCGTTCTCCGTTTTCCCAGGATTTCGCGGTTGCACTACGGGCAATCCTTGCGCTCCCGAGCCGTGACGTCAAATGGTGTGACATAAACGGGGAACCCTTATCCTTCGTTGGCCCCACCGTACCGGCGGAGCTTGTTAGTAAAGATCCATCCCTTGCAGACCTGGCCCAATTGCGTTTTAGACACCCAGATTATTTCCAAGCGGGCAGCTTACATAATCATGTTGACTTCTGGGAGGATCTCTTTTCTTCAGCCGGTTACACTTGTCCTCAAGTTGATTTGCTACAGATAATCCGAGAGGGAGTGAGGGTCGATAGTTTCTTCCGTCATTTCAAGGGCAACTTCAAAGGGAAAGTTATGATTCCGCTGTACCGCCGATTTCTATTTTCCCGAACTCTCCTTGTTGCCATCAATTTACCGATTTCATTGACACTACAGTCTTAGCCTGGGTCTCTCAGGGTGTTATCAAAGTCTACGGCAAGATTGGCGAATGCTCTCCTCCTCATTTAGTCCTCCCCTTGACAGTCGAACCATCTAAGCCGCGTTTATGCCACGACGAGCGCTTTCTTAATTTATGGATTCAAGATCTCCCTTTCAAGTTAGACCACCTCCCAGACCTGCCTCGTTATGTCCTCCCAGGGCATTTCCAGACAACATTTGATGATAAGAATGGATACCAACACCTCAAGATTCACCCGGACTCCCAGGAATTCTTCAGTTTTTCCTGGAGGGGCTATTATTTTTCTTTCTGCACCTTACCTTTCGGGTGGAAAGCAAGTGCCTTTTTATATCATAACGTTGGCCTTGTCGTCACCAGTGCCGCGCGGTCTTTGGGCGTACCTGTTTCGCAGTATATTGATGACAGGCATGTGGGCCAGTTATTCCTATCCGGTCCACTGGTTTGCCAGCCTAGTCGCCAACTCGCACGAGCAGCAGCCTTTATTTTGTTATTCCTTTTGATCTCAGCGGGGTATTTTGTTAACCTTGCAAAGAGCTCTCCACAGCCATCCACTTTTGTTAAATTCCTGGGTTTCATCTCCGATTCTGTCTTGCAAGCTTTTTTAGTCCCACTGGATAAAAAGGAGAAATTTAAAGCGTTGCGTGACGAACTCCTGGAATCATCTTTTGCGCCCGTAAAGAGCTTGCAGCGTTTCGCGGGAAAGGCGCTATCGTTTAGTCTCGCAATCCCGGCTTGTAAGCTGTATGTGCGGGAGGTATTCAAGGCTATCAGCGCTGTTGCCAAGAATTCGAAGCTCTCTGTTCCAATCCTGGGACCTTTGCGACAGGAACTTCAGGAATGGATTTTCTTGGACAATTGGTCTGGTCACTTACCTTGGCGGTCGGAACATCATCTCTCTGTCACAATGTTCAGTGACGCCTCCCAGAGGGCCTGGGGAGCAGTCTTGGTTAAAGATGGCCTACGCCAGCAAATACGAGATTATTGGATCGACCTTGAAGGTGATATCAATACCCTTGAGGCCAGGGCTTTGTGTAACGCTTTGAGCTCTTTTTTTTTCCCTTCTATCAGAAACGCAAGAATCGATGTGTGGACGGACAACGCGACTCTCCGAGCAGCCTGGGAAAATGGCGGTTGTAGGAGTTCTCTGGTGAATCAGGAGTTGAAAAAAATAGAAGAAATGTCTCGAGCAGGAAACTTTGTTTTGCATTTGAAATATGTCCCATCGAGTGAAAACATTGCTGACGCGCCCTCCCGTGCTCTGACTGACATTGATTGTTCTTTGTCCGAGGAGGCGTGGGCCCGAGTTCAAGCGCGGTTTGGACCACACATTTGACTTGATGTCTTTGGACAGCAACTGTCGCAGAGGAAGGGATGGGAGCTTTTTGCCTCATTACTCGCCTTGGCCGACTCCGTGTTCTCTGGGCGTTAATGTTTTCGCACAACCGATACCAATGGAACATAACGTCTATGTCTTTCCCCTTTCGTTCTCGTGGGACCGTTGCTGCGGTACTTTTTGATCAGCGCCAGCGTTTCGCTTTTACCATCGTTGTCCCTCGTTTCCGCCCGCATCGCTATTGGTGGGCAATACTCCAAGCAATGGCAGTAGATTCTTTTCTTCTTGGGCGGAAAGGTGACTCGGCCATGTTGCTTTTCCCTTCCCGCACCTCCCCCGATTTCATTGCAAGGCCCTTGCCTTGGGATCTGTGGGTTTTTCGTTGTGTCTGCTCCTGGTAAGCTAGGTATTTATGCTTGTCTCTATAGATCGAACGCCCATGGAAGCCTGCCTGCCGATGTCCCGCCTGCTCTTATCCAAACGACAGTGACGCGAACTTTTGCCAGGCCTGCGGTACACCCCTGTCGCGTGAGCCACCGCAAGGGACCCGTCCACATGCGGACATGCCTTTGATCAACAAGCGCTTTACAGAGTTCCAAGAATCGTATAGGAACAAACCTTATGAACGGCAAAAGGACTCTTTAGAAGTTCAGCTGTCGAGTTTCTTGTGCTCTCTTGTTCCCCGAAGAAAGTTTCTGCTGCAACCGCGGAAGACATCGTAAAGTTTTTGATTAGCAAGGATGCTGCGGGAAAACAGAAACTCCATGTGCGCTCTTGCTCTAGTAAGACCTGTAGTTGCCCTAAGCGTCTAGCGGCCGGAACTGTCGATTCATATATAGGGAAACTTAGAGCGATTTTCAATAGGTTAGGCCGTACAGGGTTTTCTAACCCGTTGGCACATCCTTGTGTTAAGGAATATCTTAAGTTTGTAAGAGAGGAGCAAGCCCAGCAACCTTTGCCCCTCGTCAGGCTGTCCCTTTGTTCTATGACAAATTCACCCGTTTGATTGCCTATCTTCGCGGGCTTATTGCCGAAGGCTCTGCGCTTTCTCCTCTCAATAGATACCTCCTGGTCAGGGATATAACATTCTTTGTTATTGACTTTTACACTGGTGATAGAGCATCCGATTTGGGCCGTTTGAAGGCAGATCAGCTTTTTTTTCGCCTTAAGGATAGGGAGGGGTTCCTTCTCAACTTTACGTTTAGTAAAACAAGGCGTGCAGGTCAGTTTCGCCCTTTTGCTCTGTTACGTATTCCAAATGTACCTGTCTGCCCGGTTTTTGGTTGAACTATTATATTGCCGCGTGTGGGGCATTAGGTGTCCCTCTTCATGGTGAGTACCTCTTTAGGTCTTCGGAGCATAAAAAGTTTGTGTCACATCGTCCGTTCGGAGGGTCAGCCGTATCTGCACGGCTCCAAAAGTATCTTAAGGCTGCCAACATTAATGACGGAGAGACCCCTCACAGCTATCGTGTAGGAATTTCATACACCCTCAAGGGTTTGGGATGTACTCCGGAGCAGATTGCTCAGTACGTGGGTTGGCGGAGCACAGAAATGGCTTTGTATTACACGCGCCGCTCCAGTGCTTCTGCTTCGTTGCAGTTGTTAGAACGGGTTACGCTCAATCTTACTTCTACGAGCTCTCCGCCCGCCCTGCAACTTTCCCACCAAGGAAATTTGCAGAGAATTTCGTATAGTTGAATTAATACATCTTTCATGACTAAGGGACTTTCATCCCAGTACTCTCCGGTGGTTATTAGTTTGTTGTCAGTTAATAAGTCTTTATTGAGTTATGGAGTATTGGGTGTTGAGTGTTGGGTATTGAAATTATAAGGTCGATGTGTTTTGGGGGGAGGGTCGGAGACCTAGGTTATGGCAGGCTGCCTCAGGGAATGGCAAGGAGCGGATCTCTCTCCCATAACTTAGTTTCGCGATGTGTTAAGTGGTAGACAGTGAGGATATAGTACTATTCTCACTGAATAATTAATTAACGCATCGCCAAACGACCGGTAAAATACTCCGCCGTCCTTTGGGACGCATCAATGCACTGCGGGCTCCCCTGATAAATAGGATACACCACGTGGCTTTGATTTCACTGTGTCACAGCGCCGACCGCCGAGACGACTTATCAAGGTTCGCCCCACCCTCCTCCCCTGGTGTTGGTTGACAACTCCTCACATATCGTGATCTATTCTTGCTGTCTACCTCTTTCCACAACAATCCGCGGATCTCTCTCCCATAACTTAGTTTCGCGATGTGTTAAGTGGTAGACAGTGAGATATAGTACTATAATTCAAAACGTCGTAGGAGCGCATCTAGTGCATCTATTAGTTCATATGGTAGTGACACCATTGACAGCGATCGAGAGAGTAAACGTAGGAGCGAACAGGGGAAAAGCAGTCGGCGTTCTTGTAGTGCTGAATTCCATGAGGGTACATCGAGACATCGACAGAAATCTAAGTTATTTGAATCATCACAAGGTAGCACATGCAGAAAAGAAAGTAGGCGACGTTCCCTCAGCACTGAATCCCGTGATGACACTGGTAGAAGAGAAAGCAGGCGACGATCCCTCAGCACTGAATCCCGCGATGGCAATCAACTCACCCGGAGAAGAGAAAGCAGGCGACGTTCCCGTAGCATTGAATCCCGTGAGGACTTACTGAGAAGAGCAATCAGGCAACGTTCCCGCAGCACTGAATCCTACGAGGGCACATCGAGAAGTATAAGCAAGCGACGTTCCCGTAACCGCAGCACTGAATCCCGCGAGAGTACTCGGAGAGGGGAAAGCAGGCGACGTTTCCGCACCCGCAGCAATGAGTCCCGCGATGGCACTCGGAGAAGAGAAAGCAGGCGACGTTCCCGTAACCGCAGCACTGAATCCCGCGAGAGTACTCGGAGAGGGGAAAGCAGGCGACGTTCCCGCACCCGCAGCAATGAGTCCCGCGATGGCACTCGGAGAAGAGAAAGCAGGCGACGTTCCCGTAACCGCAGCACTGAATCCCGCGAGAGTACTCGGAGAGGGAAAAGCAGGCGACGTTCCCGCACCCGCAGCAATGAGTCCCGCGATGGCACTCGGAGAAGAGAAAAGAGGCGACGTTCCCCCACCCGCTGCACTGAATTCCGCGAGAGCACTCGGAGACGAGAAAGCAGGCTACGTTCCCGTAGTCCCTCTGTCACCCCGCACAAGGAAAGGGAAGGCTCCAGCAGCTTACAATTTGGCGATCAAAGCCAGGATGAAAACACATCTCACTTAACTTGAAGGAACGTTCCGACACAAGAAAGAACCAATGTCGAGAACCTAGGGAGCCAAAAGAAATGTAAGTAGCAAATTTTTTTAAAATTTGGGACTGGTCAAAAGGTATTGGGGGGAGGAGGTGGTTGGGCCAGAGCAGAGGGAGGTGGGTGGGTCATAAGGTTTTAAGCCTTTTGCAAGGGGTGCGTTGTGTAATTTTAAGCTACCCTTAAAAAGTGGGTCATCCATCATAGACAGGCACACATTAGCCTTGATACTACCAGGACAGTTGACCAGGGGCGTAGCCTTCTTTTCGACTAGTTGTAGGCCTGGCTGACTTTCATTTCCACATATCCTGAAAACTGCACGCATGACTAGTAGGCACTGGCCTCACCAACACTTTGAGCTCTTAAGCTTTTTAGCTTACCCAACAATGCATAATTATTTATTACAAGTGATAGTGTGATCAAACCAAACATTTGTAGGCCCAGGCCTACAGGTTGACTGGCTATTGACCACACTTGTTATATAATACACAGTCAGCTGGAATTATTGCTAAAAATACTCTAAAACCTGTTCTGTCCTTTTCAAAATGCAATATTATTTCCATAAAATGTATGATTCCTTATGAAATTCCTTATGAAGTGGGGTAAGAAGCTAGAGTTTAATGATTTTGTCATGCTCAAAACAAGGTTTTATTGGATTATTAAGACGAAAACCGAAAATCAATGTTTTAATACTAGGGTTGGGTCATGTAATTTCCAACAATGGTTTAGGGGTGGGCTAGTCATTTTTGTGCCGAAGGGACGAGGCCCGGGCTATGTAATTTTATCGACCACATTTCCAAATTCTCTGGCTCACTAGCCCATATAATTTTCAACAAGTCCCTTATTAAAAATTTAATATTATTGATCTCCTTTTTGAAACCGGCTGTGAGCCACCTTAAGAATAATCTAATAATGCTACAAAATCAGGACATTGTTCAACAGTTGTCATTTTTTTTAGCCTTACCAGGCAGCAAAATGTGGAGTATTCAAACCAGTCATTCTAAAATGTTCAAGTTGATTACCGTCAGAAAGGATATGACATCCAAAGAGTATATGGAGAAAATCAGCAAGCTTTATAACATCAAAATGGGCTACTTTTCTGTGGGCTACAGCCTCCCTCAGAATCCAGAGCTACAAGTAGAACTAGACATGGATGACTCAGAGGGATTTGGAAATGCATAATGCCTCCTTCCCAGTTTCTCCAAGTTGAAGGTAGTTATGAAAACACAGATTTCTGGGAACATTTCTATTGCAATGGGTAAGCGAACAGTAAGAAACAAGGAAATTGTGTCCGAAGAAATTAAAAGAGAAATGGGTCTCCATGATGAGGAGGGAAAAAGAAAAAGAGGCTGTGTAAATGCACACTGGACAGCAAAATGTTGGGAGTTGATCGAAACTGACCCACGATTTTTGATGGAGTTTGACAAGGTCCAAAGTGGAATTGAAAAGACATGGGGAAGCAAGAGCTTCTTGCTCAATCCTTTCCAAGCTGTGTGTCCCATATGTAGAGAGATACGTGTACTCTCAAAAATGAATCAACCTCAAGAAATGATGACTCACATAAAGGAAAAGCACTTCAATGTTAAACCAACAAGTGAAATTGCCATCAAAAGACTGCAAGCTTGGAAGGAAAACAACTTTATCACCGTAGCTCAGTTGAATGATGTGACACCATTGGCTCCAGGACTATTCAAAGATCCTGTATCTGTTACTGAAAATCCCATGGTCAGGGCTGCTGTCCTGGCCCGTGGCATTGATGAAGGGGCAGTCTAACCTAAGTAATTCAGTGTTCTTACATGTATTTTCAATTCTTTAAAATAACGTTTTGAAAGTCAGCCAAAAAAATGTTGCATCTATAATTTTTTCAATCTACAAACCCTTTTTCAGTACAAAAGTTAGTTTAAGCTCAATAGGCCACTTGCTTTAAGAGGTCATGTGACCAATGCTTCCTTTAAACAACAGGTTCGAATCTTGCTGATGCCAAAAATTGGCAGAGCACATAAAAATTATCTTTCACTTTGATTTTTCAACAAAGTAGTATGATTTGTGTTGGCTGCCATGTTGGAAGGCAAACTCTTGCCCTCGAACATAGAGGCCGAAAACACTTTTTGCTTAAATAGCTTGTTAAATGTTTGGTAGTTACGCTCAGATGTACTGTAAATGTTACCACATCATATTTTCAACATCTTCCTTGAAGTTTAAGTGCAAAATTTGTGTTCAGAAAGAGATAATTCATAATTTTAAAAATCACATTTTGGTCAGGTGACCAGGTACCAACTTACTCATTTTAAGAAAGTGGTGCGGGTTTGAACAACGAAATCACTATTATTTTGTTTAAGATATGACCCACTAATCGTTTTTCGAAGGCAAAATCATATAACTTTTATTCATTTTCATAAAAATGATGTCAAATGACCTCTTAATGCAAATGACCTGTCACTGGCAATTTGAAAGAAAGAGCATACTTTACATAAGAATAAAAAAATTTTCCAGAAAGAACCACATTTTCAGGTTTTTTTAAATTTTCTGTACTAGAATGCATATTTTATCTTCGTGATAAAAAAGAAAATCAGAAAGAAAAACCATACAATTTCTAAATCAACAGTGGCTTACAAGAAAAAGTCCAACTTTTAATTTCCAACTGACAGGAAGTTTTTCATTAGCAGAGATTAATGTGTTCTGATTGCCTGATTAAAACAGCGTACATAAGGTTTACAATTCACTGTTACCATTTGCATGTGACTTTTCATGTTATAATTTTTATTACATGCTAGAGAAAAAAAACAAGACTTATACATGTATGCATTGCAGAAAAAGTTTGACTGCCCCTTCATTGAGAAAGAAATTGAACATGATTACTTGGGACACTGGCTGCAGCAGTTTGTTGCTGCAGGGATGGTTGACTCAAGCCATCTTGTATATCAGGAAGTTGATGCCTTCATGACAGAGCAACTGCGTCAACCATTCCCTATCACAGACTGGCAACAATGGCCCACATTATATAGCTTCTGTCAGTCACTTTCATCAGTTGCCTCTAGAAGCGGCTACAACTTTTATGTTGGAGAAAAGAGATTCGGGATGAAGGATCAAAAAACTGAAATTGCATCTGTGCTTCGTTACTGTCATCCAGGGCCCTCATTATCTACCTTAGATGAAAAGAAAGCTGAACCGGTGCTGCAGTCAGGTCCACATCTTGCAAATGTGTTGCTCTTAATCAAAATGCTCCAAAGCTTAGATGGAGTTCCATGTTTTAAGAATGACAAAGTTTTAAAGTTTTGGGGTATAATGCACTACGATGGCATGCCCCTGAATATTGGCACATTCCCTAGGATTGAAGGCAGAGAGGTTATATTTGATGGGATAAAACCACATTTACCTTTACATCAAATGATAGAACTTCAACAAAATGGTAGTGGAGCCCTAACGAAATTCATATCTGAACACTGTACTTGGATTTCAGAAGTAAGAGAGTATGACATCACAGATGCTAGTGGTTCCTTCTTCATAAATGCATTTACGGAGTATGGCACTGCACAGGGTACTTCAGAGACTATTAAGACAACATTATCAAATGTCATCAAAAGCATAACCGTTTGTGTGGATTGTGTCAAAGATGGTGAACACAAAAACTGTCATTTTACTTCTTTACCTGATCCGTGTAGCAGGTGCAAAACTCTACAACAAATGGGACAAAATATATGCTGTACTAGTTTCAAAGTCATACATGTTTCCTCCGATCAAGCATCTGCCTAGAGGAAAGCTCATATTGAGTTAAATGAAATGTCAATCAAGGACATCAGAGACAGCAACTATGTGCAGTATGGTTTTGGGATGCTGCATTTTTGTAAAAATGCTATATCGGCTGTAAGAAACTACAGACTGACAGATATGGCAGACACATTCAGTGTCTCTATGCTGACATCCCTACGGGCCTCAAATTCAGAAGAAAGCAAACGAATAAGGAAGGTGGCACCTGCCGGAGTGTTCTCCTTTAAAGATCGCCACAGTGATGAATTGTGTTACCAGACTGTATCTGAAAACCTGGAAAAGATTCTACAGGAAACAAAAGATGTGCTAATGACATTGGTTCCAGAACAATACCGAACATTTACTACAGAAGCAATGACACACTCTCTCCTGGGTCGTCCTCTGTACATAACAACTAATGTAAATGGTGATTTCTTGTTCACAGGTAAGAAATTGGTGTGCAATTTAAAATAATCAATTTAGTTTAACCTGTTTATCACACTTAAGCACTGTGAGCTTATGAGACCAGAGTATGTGTGTAACTATATGAAAAGTTAACAAAATTACTGAATAAACAAATTATTATTTTTTTTCTTGTTTAATAGATGCAGAGTTTGAAGTTGTTGTTATGGCAAACAGACATATTCCGCCCAAATGCATTGCAATTGGAAAATGGGATGATCCTGGTGAGTTTAAACATTAAATTGTGAATGTCATTTCTTGTGCTCAAAATATCAGTTCCAAATGATAATTTTATCTTTTGTTTTCTGTCATTGTCATTTTTTAGTATAATTTTGGTAAAAAAATCACATGTTTCTTAGAAATGAGGCCATTTTTGAACTACATACTGTAAGCATCAAACACATTTTGGGTGGCACCATATAATGTAAAATTAATATAATAGCTAAAAGTCGTGGTAAAATAAAGTGGATTGAGTCTGAACCCTTTAACAAAACAAAAACAACAACAACAACAAATATTTGCTAGACAGACAAGTTTGTTTCCAGAAACCATGTGCTTGACAGTTTTAATTGAAAAAGAAGCTTACATCTTTTTTTTACTCCTTTCTTTAGGACCAGCCCAATCTAACCCAATGCCATCATCAAAAGCTTCTTTTAGACATCCTGCTGGCATAGATGTGATGATATGTTCCGCATCAAAAAGGGGAATCTGCTTTGTTGCAGATTCAGGGAATCATACAATTCGTTATATTGATGGAGTACAAAACATTGAAGGCCCTAAGCTTGTTGGTACTCTGGCAATCCACCCTGTGGTAGCAAATTGGAAACCCGAGGGACTGGCAGTTCTCAATACACAAACACTGGCTGTAACTGCAGGAAAAAGTTTGTTTTTGATACACCTGAATGAGGCACTTTTGCATGGACAAATGACCACCATTGTTAGCACACTCTCAAGTCCTCATGGTCTCTGCCTCAATCCAGAAAACACAGATGCAGTTTTAGTTGCTGACAGAAATGTTGTCAAAGAGATCAATCTCACTTCAAAAGAAACTGCCATTATTGCTCAAGGTTTCCAGACAGCCTTTGATGTTTCTTCAGCAGCCAATAAGCAAATTGGCATCACAGATGTGAGTTCCCATAAGGTAACAATGTTGCAATGGAACAATGACCAAAATGAATGGGTCAAGACAAAAGACGTTGGAAGTGGGACAGCTGGACCTAGAGATGGAAAGGCCTGTAATGCTGAGCTCCATGAGCCCACAGGAGTTACGTTTGACTTGAACTCTGCCATCATTCGCTGCATTGGAGGAAAGAACCATGGGTGCATCAAATGATATTCCGGACTTGCATTTGCAACAGAATTTATGGCAGCAATATATATGATGCCACTGGATTTTTACCAAAGAAGGAACAAAACGAGCAGAAAAACAGATCCAACGGCCAAACCACCATTTATACCAGGAACCCACAAGCTCATTAACAGTCTTTCATTTCTGGAAGGCATAATGGCTAGAAGGAAAGCTTACCTTCACAAAAATGGATTGGATGGTACAGATGGGTCTATCTACACCAAGACATTAGAAGGTTTTTTCACAGACGGTAGCCTCATTAGAGAGCCACATACGTGCAATGGATGAACTTGAAATGGATACAGCTAATCTTAACTTGTATGCCTTTGTGAATGAGTCAAGGAAGGAACACAACTTTGCCAAACACAAACAAAGCGGTCAGTATCGCCATCCCACTATGCAGCAATACAGCAGAACAAAAAGCGGTGATGAAGAAGAAGTAATCAAAAAAACTTGCAGGTGTCCTCATTCGTACCACACTAACCAATTCCAGGCATACCAGGCAAGTCACAAGTCTGATTTGCCATCAGTCACTGTAATCAAAGAATTCAAGAGAATTAAAGATGATCTACGGCCAGAGCAAGTAAATCTGACCCAGGCTGAGAGAGATAAAGTCAAAGAAGACTTAAAGAAGGCCAGAGCTCTGAATACACTAACTAAAGCAGTGCCAAGTCAGAATGCAAGAGATATCTACCGGTCAAAGTGTGGATTTGCGCCTTGTGTAGTTGATCAGCTCGACTGCACACTCTTTCAGCCAAGTGATGCAAACCTAAGATACTTCCCAAGTTTCCAACAGTTGATGAGCGAGATCAGTACCAATGATAATGTTCCCACTACAAGTGGAGTTAATGAGGATTATAATCTCATTCCAGGGGACATCGTGGCTGTGAATCCTGGAACAGAAGATGGCATTCCAAGTGGAGACAAGTGGTGGCTCCTACAAGTTAGCAGGGGTCTTCCATCAAGTAAAACATCAAATGGCTGTCATGTTTCAGGATTCTGGCTTGAAATGTTACCTTCTTCTCAACAGCCAGACCATGGTTGTGCCCTGAGACTCCAAAGAGGGAACACTACAATCTATTATGGAAGTGTCATAAAATCCGGTGGTAAACCAACAGCCATACCAGTTGAACAGCTCAATACAGGGTGGAATCATGAGTCAGTTGTCTACAAGCTGTCAGACGATTATGTACGGCATCTTGATAAGGTCTCAGAGGAGTCTCGGATGACTTTTTGTGTTCGACATGACAGTGCAAGTTGTGAGGAGAGTGAAGATGAAGATGTTGATGAGGCAACTGCAAGAGAACTCACACACCTTCTTGAAGAGCAAGATCTTCATTCAACAAGAAGAAGGATAATCCGGGATTCAAATGGTCAACAGATCACTTCCTATGCACAGCTGAATGGGCATAGACAAAGTACGTCAAGGAGAACTAGACGAACACACCTGCTTCAACTTGAAAGTGACAACATTGCAAGTGCTCAGAGAAATTCAAGCACTTCTAGCATAGAGCAGTGACATCTACAGTCAAACCGAGAAAACTGTGAACACCAGAAATATTTCTGGAATGTTATCGTGTTGCAAGAAAAAAGCCAATCAGGTAAACCGTACGCAAGAACACTAATTAGTTTGTGGTTTCTTGGCCAGTTGGTGTGTCTGGATTTTTGCTGTGACTGGTCATAACACAATAAACATTCCTGAGGTATTTCAAGTGTTTACAGTTTTCCCGGTCGCACTGTTAGCGTGGTACATTCAGACATATATAGAATGAAAGAGCAAATGAAATATTTTTGTATTGTTATGGTTGGAATTCCTTAAATTTAATTAACAATTAATAAATGAGGCTGAGTATCTTATGAAGAATTATGGAGATTTAGGAGGGTGTTATCGGCCGAGGCAGATAACACCATCCGGATAACACCCTCCTTTCGGGCTCATACTAACACAAACAACAATCATAGGAAAAAACAAGTCAGAAAATTGTAGGCATAATCAAGTATGGGTTGCAGAAAGTTTTTTAAATTTTGTCTGAGATTCACAGTAATTTTGGGTTGGCTGTGTAATCAGACTGTAATCATACCAATATCAATTCTTCATCCCTTGTCTGACACCCCCTGGGGACACTGGTGTACAAAGAGCTGCAATCAAATGTCTCTGAACAGACGCATTTATAAAAAAATGCCTCTTCAAGGCCTAGTTAAAAGTTAACATCCAACTTTTCATGTGCCAAAACTGATTTCCACATTTAGCTATTTAAGTATATGAAAAGATCGACGTCTGTATCAGTCACGTTCGATATATAAAATTTTGGTCGGCTAGAGAATTAAGTTGGACAGGGCTTTAAATGAATTGTTTTGCTTTAAGAAAACTGAAATAAGTTCGGTGCTTGAATCAAATGGTGAGATTTCAAGAATTTTGTCAGACCTAACTGTGGGCAATAAGTTTAGCTAATTAAGTTAGGCACTTGAAAAGTTTGATGTGAACTTAGCCTGAGAGAGACCCCTGCTTGCCCTAGTGTTAGTGGTTACTGTCAGTGTTTTCCGCCTGAAGCGGACATCGATATCAAGGGTTGCATTGGTCGGTACCAGGCGGTGTGTGCACTACGATCGCTAAGCATCATGGCCGTTATTCAAAATCTGATCATTTGTGTCAAGATGGCGTGGAGTGAACATCTCGACTGCGGAGTGAATATTCGTTAATTACGCTGTAGATATATACGATTTTGCTTTGAATGTCCTCCGGAAGCCCTTGAAAAAGAAAGTCTGTCCAATTCTCAGGCAAAGAACAGTCTCATTCCGTTGATAAGTGTATTCTGGTGTATTTTGTTCGTAATCACTTGCATCCTGTTTGCAACTGACCGAGAAAAGTCGGCACAGAAACACTTTGTTCAATGCTTCAATCATGAAAAGCACTGGAGGTAAGACCCGCGGTTCGCCGAAAATTTTTGAATTCACCGTGAAATCAGTGCAACTAGTGCTAAGAGGTACTGACGCGCATAGCTGTGATATACTCGTAAAATACTAGGAGCTTCTTCAGAATACCCGGCAACGGTATTTAAACACAGTAAGCTTATTTTGTTTTGTCATTCAGCACTGCAAGATGTTCACTTGCTAGCTGTAATAAGAGAATCGAAGTTGAGGGGGTCATCGTTTCGAGGACTTGTTTCTATGTTGGCACCAAGTCTACATTTCGTTTTGCTTAACATCTGTATTTATCATCACATGAAGACGAGTAAATAAAGTAGAGAGTATTTGTGTACAGTGAACTTGTGTCCTCTATAGCTAATATAATATTGAGCATCTTTATTTGCCATATTTTTCTATTGGTATGAGTCATAGAATGTCTTATAACTGGATTGAAACTGAAAATGGCATAGTTGTGATTACAAAGCCTGATGCAGTCAATAGATTTTAAAAGCTGCAGCCAATATTTGTTTAATGATTGTGTCAGTATGTACAAACACATGTTATCACATCTTTTTTTGGATTATAAAAACTCTTCAAAATGTGAAATTCATACATGTTTACAAATCTCCTGTAATCAGGGCTGGGGCAACATAGCTTGAGACCCCATTCCTTTCTCCTCACCCCAATTTTATCATTTAAATATGGTATCATAGGTCTCATCATACTCACAGTCAACTCTATTATACAGACACTGAGGGGACCGTAGAAATTAACCATCTTAATTTAGAGAAAATTTAAGGGCTTTTTTCCAGGGAACAAAGCAAGCTATCTGTAATGATGAGCAAGGCTGTGCTCTAAGGAACATTGAAAGGAGCCTAGTTCTCTGAATCTGTAAAATCTAGGCTGCACAGCATATGATTTTTATGAAAAGCCTGAGATTTTCTAGTCACCCAAAAGCAAAAGTTAGGTGCCACGGGCCACAGGGTTCTGCTAGAGCACAGCCTTGATCAGGTGTCTGTATGAGGCAGTGGTCCGTAAAGAGGGCTTTTGGGTTACCAGTTATTGCAGAGGTGGATCCTAGTGGTACAGTAAAACCCCCTGACTTAGAACCTGAATTTCAAGAACCTGTTCAGCTAAAATAAAATTATGCCAGATGAGCCCCCTCTATATAAAAACCTGTTTAGCCTAAAATTTGAAACAGGTTGTTATTTTTTAAATCTATGGAAAAATTCTGTACACTTGAGCAGAGATAAATCAACATTTAGAATCTTCTTTGGAGACAAAGCTGTCTTATCACTCCAAGTGCAATGTAAATGCCAATGTTTAAATTTAAATACATTCCTCTTTTTATGCCCATTTCTCACATAACTTTCTAATTTGGTATGCAGACTTTATATGAGGAATAAGGTGAAACACAAATACTCTTAGCTACATTTTTACTTCAGAAAATATGAACCCATTTAAAAACCTAAGTAGCCTAAACTTGTGCTAACTACTATTTATATAAGAATCTGTTTAGGCTTACTCAGTTAATTCAGGTTCTTAGTCTCATGATTTAACTGCCCCATTGTTCCACTTTTTCTATGTCCTTTCCCTGTCACCATTTTTTCAGCCTTGGTTTTCCAATATCAAAAGCACATTCAATGATCAAGCAATTTATATTTTAACTAAAGCCACCAAAATATGCAAATTGTTTGATATACATTAAACAGTGTAAACGGGTAAACAGATTGAATGACATCACTTAGCCTGTGTGGCAGGCATTTCAAAGAAAAGGGAAAGTGGGTCTTGGTGCAAGAGAAATGTGAGAGAAGGAGGGAGGGAAATGCCTGCCATACAGGAGACTAATTGTTTTTTGCATCATAAACATCAACCAGGTGAATGTTGAAATCACTCCCTCCTTCCTCGTGCAGTCTTCGCATTTCTCTTGTGCCCCAAACCCCTCTCCCTTTCCTTTTAAATGCCTGCTACGCAAGCTAATCACCACTGAATAAAACAGGGACTAGGCAAGAAACTGACAAAGTCATAACATCCACACAACAACACACACCAATCTTGGAAGTAGATTGCTGGTTTCAAAATGCACAGGGCTTAACTGTATAATCAAACTTATCTTTTAATTTAATACCTGTAATTCTAATCCTACTGATTTTATACCCGCATAAAGAGAGTCACATGTATGACTGCAATTTTATTATGCTCTTTTTAGTCCTATTACAAAAACAGACGTTCCTACATCAGAGTACTCATCAGCCTATTTATATACCAGTTTCGAACATTTTATGCTCACCTAATGCTATTGTTTGGAGGAACCAGTCGCCGCTGCCCCGCTATTTTGTGATCAGCTGGTGATTACAACAGTAACACTTCCAGTAACATGTCACATTGGTCTTCGCGAGGCTACATTTTCCCATGAGAACATGCCGGTTTCAATTCGGAAAAAGTATCACAAAACGTTGGGCGCGTTGGGGAGCGATAAAAAAATTAGCGTAGAGCAAGGTTTGTAGAAACACTTACAACTATCTTCTACTTTCGACGGGCAATATAATGGAAATTATAGCCTCTTAAAAACCGGGTTCAAATTTCATGCTCTTACAGGAGGAATCTTCGGGATCCACGTTTTAGATTGAAATGAAGAATATTGATTTGTTTTTCTTCACAGAAAAAATCTAAACAAATATTAGCTTGTGAAATCGAGAAAAACTATCTAAGGAAAGAACTGTATCTATTGAAAAATAAAGCATATAACCTGCGAAATTTCTCGACCTTCGCCGCCATCTTGAAAATTTTGAATCCACAATGCATCGCAGTCGTAGTGCGCACACCGCCTGGGTCGTTACAAGACTTTTATAGAGAGTTAAATGTTTTACCTTATGTCAACAAATACATGGTTGCAAAGTTGAAAGGCTTTAGCTTAGCTTACCTGCATGTGATACATTTCGAACCTTCTCGATTTAACATGAAAATTTTTGAACGAGTTCTCCTCCTTTTCTTCAGAAGTTTTCCCGTCCATCTTGAAAATTACCCAGAATACATATCGAGGACAATGGGCTGAGCCAGAGGGCCCTGGGAAGGACAAGAGTTACCAGTATCTTCTGGGTAATTTACAAAATGGTGAACGAGTTAAGGGCTAAATGTAACAAGTCTTTATGAATCATG